TTATACTATTTATTATTAATAACTAATTCATATCTACACAACTAAAGATAATGCATGTCAATGATTAATCGACCTAAATACGAAAATAAATCTTATTATCTTTTTGCAGGTACCTGTTCGTAGTTACCATTTATTTATTTATTATTTTTTTTTTGTAACTTATACATTATCATTAATAATTTAATTATGATATTCCAGTATTTTGCACAGTTTTTATTTTTGTATTTTAATAAATAGCCCTAAAATAGTAATTATCGCTGGCTTCGAATCCACTTCTCGCAGGCCTTTATGCACTATATAATTCCCATCACTAGTAACTAGTAGGTACTATAACACGTAATTAGARGAAATATTGTTCACACAAAGCCTCCTCTGCTATTGGTTTAAACGGAAAAAAATGGTTCTTTATATATACCTAATATATAGATAAAATTAAACCACTTATATCCAGAACCAAGAGATATAATTAAAATTAASCTTTTCATAGAATATTTAAAAAATAAAGTCTACTTTTAAATCAAAAATGGTCAAATATGCAACAAATATTTTTAAATACCTATTATAATGGAATTCAAAACCTTGATTTTTTGCATTTGCAGTCTAACACACCTGCGTCATACAATTTTAGACGTGTTCTCTGCCAAATGTACAGATTGATCTATGAATAAAAATATATTTTATCGTACACATTTATTATGTTTATTAAAATACATTATGTTAGAGACTATAATATCTAAGACTTTAATAGGGCGTCAGTGTAATATTTGCTTTCTCAACATAGATAAATAAAGCATTCATTTAAAATAGTTTTTCATGATTTTTGACTTTTTGAGTAATCTTACAGTAAAATCACAAATATTATAGAAGATAGGTAATATATTGGCTATAATATTTGACTTACAAAATAAAATCAAAATGTAAATTTATGCAAATCGATATGTCTTACACTCAAATATACTGTTCTTTATAATGTTTGTAATAGATGATTTTCATTTAAGATTGCTCAAAATAAAATAAGACGATCTTGCGTAGTTGCGTGGATGCGTTTTGTCTATATTGCACTTAGTTGCACATGAACCAGAATGACAATATAAAATATTAAAATATACGAAATACAATATCGGTACTAAATACTAATAACTAATAAGTAATAAGTAATAAGTTACATGGCTGCATTAAGCATTTAATCATTATTGTTCAAAAGTAGGAYACTRTTTAGTGGGTTATCTAACTTTTAACTATTGCATTTTTAACTTTTTGTTGCTTTTGACATTCATAAATTATTTTTTATTCACAAATATTTTTATTTACATTATTAATTTTACTTTATTAACAATTATAATAATWCATAATTATTAAAATAACCAATTTTAAAGCTTATGACTTTTGTTGATTTATAATTCCATATTTTTTTTTTAAATTTCAGAAGCAAGTAATTTTATGGGACATGGTGGTTACCCAATACCAATTTATCTAGGATGTTATGCTGAAACTCCTAACGATAGTGAAAATCGTTTATTAAAAGGTCCAGCTGGGCCATATACTAATAATACTCCTCAAAAATGTTCAGAAATATGTTTCAAGATGGGATATTTATTTTTTGGAGTTTCATATGGGTATTTAAAAAGAATTATATTTTAACTATAGTTTTGAGTAGAATTAATCACAAGATTATTAAAAGCTTCATTACAACTTAAAATTATATTTTATACAGCCTAAATTTACCAGATTGTGTTAATATGTTCGTTATTGATTTATTATAAATCTAAAATATATTATATACCTACCTATTTGTTATAAATTATWCCATAGTTTGTAAACATTTTTATTTTTATATGATTATCTACTTATTTAGATAATTGGATATAATTAAAAGATTAATATTATAGCTTAAGTAAAACAAACTTATCTATTTCCTTATAGATCAGAATGTTGGTGTGGAAATCAGAGACCAGCAAAGTCGGCAAAAGTAGAAGATATTAATTGTGATTCTCCGTGTAGTGGTGATGGTAAACAGTTCTGTGGTGGAGGATGGAAAATGGGAATTTATTCAACAGGAATTACTGGTATTTTTTGATTTAAATTTTATAATCATAGCACATAAATAGTAAATGATATTGTTATTCTTGTTATCGTATCCAAACTGTAAAGATGCTTCTATAATATTATAATTTATAGTTTTAACTGATAAGTAACATTTAAAACATAATATTTACAGACTATGTGCCAAAAAAATATATTGGATGCTTTGATGATGATGGTAAAAAAACAAAAGGGAAATATTTATCATTTTCAATGGATACCAATAATAGTCCTAAACGATGCATGAATCTTTGTAACACTCATAGATTTAAATATGCTGCTGTTAAAGGGTATGTATATTAATAATCTTTAATTTCTGAATMATTTAATATATGTTATTATTAATTATTATTTATAGCAATATCTGTGAATGTAAAAACTATGAACCAAATTTTAATTTAAAAAGAAGTTTTAGTGACTGCAATACTTTATGTACAGAAAACCCATCTGAATATTGTGGTGGTAGTGTTACAGTTAGTATTTACAAGACTTTATACTCAGGTATGATTGTATGAGTATGTAAATAATTGTATAGTTGCTCGAAAAGTTATATTTACTGAACATTTAAATAATTTAGATCCTCTTGCAAAAGTGTCAGTAAAGCCTATTGGATGTTTTACCAATTTAAAGAGACATCCAGTATTAAATGGTTGGAGAATATCACATGCTCGCCTTACACCCAAACATTGTGTATATAGTTGTCACACAAGAAGATTCCCATATGCTGCACTTATATCTTCGTAAGTAAAATTTTTTGGATACTGCAGAAGTGGAAAATAGTCATATATTTTAATATAAAATTATTTCCATACATAATATTTTACCATAACATGAATGATTAGTGTAATAATTTTGTCCATGTCTCTAATAGTGACTAAATTTCTATTTAGAGAAAAAAATTAAAAAGTGGACAAGGAGACAGACTTAAATGTCAATAAAAAAAAACTTAGCTTTTATAATAGATTTTTTTTAATTACAGTATTAAATAATTATGTGGAACCTTTTATTAAATTTTCCATTCTTAGGTATAAAAATTGAACATTCTAAAAATGTTTAACTATATAATAATTTG